CACACACACACACACACACACACACACACACACACACACACACACACACACACACACACACAAATACATACACGTGCATTTCAGAGAAGTTCTGAAAGTGTGAATTGATATTATATTATGATTGTTATGTGTTTTACCGATGACGCACGGCAGGTTGATGTTGTTCTACATCTTACTTACAGTGTGCCTTTACCCCGACAGTCTGACTTTCCCGCTGCTGTTAGGAACTGATAATATGTTTTCCGGAGTAAATGCGACATGGTCATCATTCGCTAAGTCACACACCTTTGAGCTCATTGCGATGGACAGCGTCTCTGCATTTTGCCATGATGCCGAACAATCACGTTGGATCCAGGTATAGATTTCTTTTAGAACCCCGTTTAATTTATCATTTGTAATGCGCATATGAACTTAATATTTTAATGTGACAAGTACTATATAAGTCCTATAATTTATGTATGCATTATTTCGGCTACAGCGAGGGTTGTAGAACATGATTAAAACCCGCGTATAATATTCTATAAATTGCTCAACGTAAGATACAAACACACGCGCGCGCGCTCGCGTGCGAGCACCACGCACACACACACGCACGCACGCACGCACGCACGCACGCACGCACACACATGCACGCACGCACGCACGCACGCACGCATGCACGCACACACACACGCACTCACGCACGCGCGCACGCACACACACACACACACACACACACACATACACGTACACACACACATACACACGCACACNCATTACGTTTTAACAACAGGGACCTAGGGGGCCAGTCTGTCGGCTCAGTAACTTGGTTCGATGACCAAGCTCACCATATATGCCGCTCTGCTTGACCTTGGCGACAGTATCGGAAATGGCCTCTCGGGCGTGTTAATTATGTATTGGACAGCATTTTCCTCAGCTGTATTTTTTTACCGGGTCGCACTTTAACAAACAATATCTCAAACATGTTCCATCTCATTTCGTTGACTCGCTTACTAGGCCTTTGTGATGCCACTGTCGACCTAACAGATTATTAACTGTCGGGCCGTAAGTACGTTACTGGGAAAGCTGTACATTTCACTGTATGGCTCGTCTGCAGCACAAACTGTCCCTCTCCTTTTCGGGTTCTCCTTGGACTGGACGTTGCGTGTTTGTCGGCCTCAATACTTGGTCTGTTATGCAGCCACTGTTACGGTGCTTGGACTGACCGGTGATGGTTGCCCGTATCGATTTGAAATCTACCGAGTTTACGCAATTTCCAGTTGTGCACTTGCATGGTCATCCCGACCTGAGTGATGTCCTATGAATAGCCTTCATTGCTCTCACTCGTACACGTCTTCGATGTCGTGACGTCACCTCATTGGTCTGTTTTGTCCGACAGAAGCTTGGAATGTCCATCATTTTTACACTTCCTGCAGCGCTTTCCTTCGCTGGGCAGCTGTCCCGACATGGCCTCGACCCACACCTGGCTTAGATGTGTACACAACTGTGTTGTTACTCCTGTTCACTAGCTAACCCTGCCTGGTGATCATATGCATTCTTCTCACCCGTGTAGCGCGTTACTTCTGCTGGCCTTGAAACTTTTGGCCTTAAATGGTCGCTACCACTTCTTCGATCTCTAGCTTCATGGCCTTGAACCGTTACTGTGCCTTCACCTGCGTCCTGTCTGTCTAGTTATTTCGATGGGCTCTTGCAAGCGGTAAGATCAGGGGTCAGTTGTACACTTCTGCTGACAGACTTTTATCAGTCAATCGCCAATTCACTAACCTGTCCCTGATGTTTCCTCTTTGGCCGTACCACAATCACAATGTTCTGCAGCTCATATAGACCGAACATAGCCGTATGAAACATTCTCCGTGCTCCACTAGCCTGTTGTCCTCGCAGGTGAGAATGTGGCACGTTCGTGAATTATGTTTCGACGTGCACAAAAGTGTCCATCAAATTTCGTGAGCCCAATTCAAACCTTTGCTTTGTCTGTTTCACTTTCGAACTCAAATGTGATGAATATGCTGCTCTGCCGTCCCGCCATACAGTGATGAGGGCAGCTTATTTGCACATCAACTTATCTTCCTTGATTCAAGCTTCGACGCCAATTCTGTATCGGCTGTATCTCTGCGCCACTCGGCGCCATACTGCTGGGACGCGAGAATCAAAAGCCTCTGGTAGGGTTTAGCTTTGCCATAGCGTCGTCCCCGCTTGGCATTTAATTGAATAAACACTGTAATGTCCATGTTTACTTTACCCATGTCGCGTTCAGGTACCACGAACTACGATATCTTTTAAACATGAACAGAAACCATTTAGTTCTAACAGCACACGACTAACACAACCAGTTTCACACAAGACCCGGATATGAATAACAGTGCGGTTTCAGTTTGGATTCTCAGAACTTCGCGGTTGGCTCTTACACTATAATTACTCATTATAGTACCGAATGTATCGTGCACAGTGGACAGAGTGTATCAATAATTTTCAACAGGTCAAGTCACAGTCAAACACAATACACGATACTGATACTTGACGCAGGGCGTGTCTATAGAAAGAAGAAGGGCAGAATTTTTAATGAGAAGCGGGTTAACTGGCTCGAATCCCTTTACGGTAGTGCAGGAAAGAGCATGGCAACGTCAGGAACAGTGGCGGCAGACAGCCGACCTAGCAACAACAAGCACAAAAAACCACTAGTCCTTTGAACAATATTATAATTATCGCCTATTATAATCGACAACAATTTTCTCGGTGGTACAGTTATTACTAGTCAGGATGCATTGGTGGGCTGTAATTAAACTAATTCTACATAATCAAAACTCGAGAGAAACCCTGGAAGAAATACAATGCTATATGCCTGATGTATTAACACCTTACTTGCTCGTAGAAAGGTCAAATTTCGCGTATGGATGGTTGATTCTATTTGCATTTCGAAAGACTGGGAAGTACAAAGACCCAACGTTCGTTACCGATGTACCATCAAGAGCAGGCTGCAACATGACAGGCGATATATGCATATTCAGTGAACTTTCAGCGCGACTACAGTTGTACTCACAGTTTACACGACCTTGCGTAAAGAAGATTGGGCTACGTATCAACACTGGAAAAACAGGGACATGTGCATTGCGTACTGAAGCTGTGTTCTTATAGCTGCACCAAGTTGAGCGAACGTCACCCGCTTCCAATACCCTTGGCAGCTATGTAACAGATGACCTTGCTCGATCGAAGGAGGAACGTGCAGCTCGTATCAGCACAGGTCATGTGCTCTCTTGCTCCGACTAACGGCAAGAGTCGTTCAACTCCACGTGCCTTCCATTTTAAACTACTAAATAAAAGTCATACAACCAGTGTCTATGCCTTCTGATGTATGGCCAGTGAAACATGGGACTCCTGTCCATCCTCCAACAGATTCGGACAACTGAGAACAAACAACAACGTCACCTGCGCTATCATGCATATAAATGGATCATTACATCATAACGAGAGAGGTCCATGAACAGAGCAGGGCTTGAAGACATCGAGTTGAAGGCTAGTTAGAAAGTCGGTCTGGTTGGGCTTGCCACATCTGTGAATGGGTATATGACAGGACAGCAAAGCACTCTTATACAGCAGATAGCAAATGGTATCTCGAGCTGTTGGTGTCGTAAATTGAGATATAAGGATACTGAAAGTTGCTGAGGGTGATATAATTCTTGATCAGTGAGGAATGTTGTAGCAACAGGCAGGAGTGGAGAGGTTTGGTGCTAAAACTTGTGAATGCTTTCACAGGAAAGAGATATCAAACAGTATGAAGAAAAAGTGAACGAAGACTAAGGATATTTGAACAAAAGATGATCTATGAACTTTATGCGATGAGATATTTGTCTACATTATTATTCTGTGTATCCCGTTCGGCTCTCACTAGGCGGATATATATATATATTGGACTGTGAATGCGGACATTGGTGTGCTGAATAAGGTATTATTATAGGAAGTAAAGTGTTGGCTAGCGAGGCTTTATGCTGATTTTACAAAGCAGAGATAATGCGATGTTTGAGTCAATATAAAGGAAATAACATTTGTGAGAACTTCTGTTGTACCAGAATAGAGATGGGAATACTGTGGTGAACCTGGTGTTTATCATGAGTGCATGCGTGAAAAGCGCTATAATTAAAAGCAGTCTAATACGGGTATTGTGTGTGGCTGCGCTTGTCGCGGCTGATGCGTGTGTGTGTGTGTGTGTGTGTGTGTGTGTGTGTGTGCGTGTGTGTGCGTGTGTGTGCGTGTGTGTGTGCGTGTGTGTGCGAGCGTGCGTTCGTGCAGGTATGTGCGTGTGTGCGTGCGTTCGTGCGTGCAGGTGTGTGCGTGCATGCGAGCGCGCGCGTTTGCGCGTTTGTGTATAGGTTGCTGCGTATAGTATTTATGGAGGATGGGGTATAAGGAGAGAGTAATCACGTGAAACATGAGCCATGTAAAAGGCACGGCGATGCCTCCCAAGTGAAATATTAAGATCGGGATTTGCAACGCAACACCTACAGATGGCCGGAGTTTCTCGTATTTGGTCATAAAAGATCGTCCGAAAAAAATGTCTCTAAGAGATAACGCGCCTAGATGCCTGCACTCCGAACCCGTACATTAGTATATAAAGCCATGTAAAAGACAGGGTGTTGCCTACCAAGGGAAATGCTTCGTAACTGCATCTACGCCATCAGCATCAGCAGAATCTAGCACACACAAATTGACACAGTTATACCCACACAACTTAATTTATGGCTCCAATTAGTGTGCTGTTTGGTTGATTAAATCCGAAATTGTTAAAGAATTAACTAATGCATTTTAACTACCAATGACACGCTCTAGAGTTGATTGATTAAGCAGATGCGCGGCCGGTGGTTATAATTTAAACATTTATTATTATAATATAACATATGATTTGGTTATAACCATAATAATTATAAGAAATGAACTGGATTGACAAATTAATATAACATAGCAGATATCGTAAAGTTTGAACATCTATTTTTAATTTAGTGCATTCAAATATCATATTCATCGCTAATCGCACTAATAAGGCAATTATCATGAAGAGTGATAAATCCGGACATACCCGGTGGAAAATACCGTCATTGCGGGTTAAAAAACATCAAACTGAACTTTTATTATCGTGGTAAGCATGGCATGGAAAACTTGGGTCCGCGTAAACATTGGTCCATATTACGTAAATAGTATATAAGTGCTGTCCACAAAAGTGCCCACGGTCAATCACGTGACCTACCCCATGCATGTACCAAGACAACATCTTGTTTTTTTCACATGGTATATTATATATATTTATATATAGGGCAATGCACTACCGCCAAGGCGCAACCACTAAACACGTTTCTCTAAAAATTGCCCGAGCTTATTATCATAAAACCATCTATACATAGTATAGAAATGTCGCAGAATTGTTCATGTTGCCCCGCGAAGGGATAACACAAAAATGGATATAGCTAAAAAAAAAACTATAAAATTATTTATGCTAGCTATACTCATGCGTGATATACGCAACCTAATGCTTTTCAACTCGTTTATCGATGTATTTCATTGATAGTCACACCACGCTAATACTACAGTGTTCAGTTCCGCACAATGTTTAGCATATGCTCAATGATAATAAACTATTTATCTTGGTAGATGGCGGGACGATGTCATATTTTAACACTGTCACATACCAAAGGCTTACACCAATAACGGCATACACGGCCCAGGGTTTTTTAAGCACAATTATTCATATATTATTTTACTGTTATATAGTCGACTACCACCGGGAATCAGAAATTGTATTCGAACGTGCACAAGAGGTAGATAATTTAAATGGAGGGATGACAAAGTGGAGAAGGTAGAGGAGGGGGAAGGAGATAAAGGGCGAAGAGAGAGTGAAGAGAAGGTGGTAAAAGGCATTGAGATAGAGGAAGGGGAGAAGATAGGGAACGAGGACACTGTGAAGAAAGTGGTGGGTGAGAAAGAAATAGGCGAGGGGCAAGAACCGAGGAGGGAGAGAAAGCAGAGTAAGGAAGAAGGTCGATGAGGTAGATGAAGGTTAGGGGAGGGGAGAGGGAGAACGCGAGCGAGGTAGATGGTTACAGGCACGGAGATAGTTGAGGAGATATAGCTATATATATTATCAGCTACACGTGTACTTCAACAGTACAATAAAACAAAGGCACACAAATTTCCATTTTAGGTCATGAGCTCTAAGCAATTATTGCTCCAACCATTCAGAGCATAGCTTGAGGAAACACACCTAAGTGTTTCACATATATAAAATAATAGATACTACACTAACCCGATTGCATATGTCTTAAGGGTATTTAGTACTTATTATTCATTATTATGCGTGTTTCTTTTATCTCTGTCGTGCAATAAATGTAATTTAATATAATTTTATCCGCTTCCACACGAAAGCTTCTACGCCATACAGAATGGAATCATTGCTCCAGGAGCGGCTATACGCAAAATTGCGACTGTGACATTCCGCGGGTGCCCGTGTTCTGCACTCAACAACGAAGTGGTTTCTATGGTAACACTTGCACCGGTGGGACTGCTGCCTGTTGCGTCTCTTCGTTACGGCGATGATCTTCATCATCGTGTTTCTTGAGCAGCCGCATCTCCTGTTCTTTAGCTTGCTTGCCTTCAGGTGGCGCCCCGTTGCCATGTGTAAGACGCGCGTACCAGTACTCGGACCGATACGGTTCCAGGGCGGGTCCCCACACATCTGATGGCCTAATACTCCCACGCAGGCGCTGCAAGCACGAAATGTTACACAATGTACGATAGTACAATAACTATTATAATTTATATATATATATATATATATATATATATATATTATATTATATTATAGTATATTATATTATATTATACTGTATATATATATACATACATATTTATATAAAAATCTATTGATATAGCGTTTATTGAAGTGCGTACCTGCCAAAAGGTGCCGTTGCACTGGACGTGCGTCAGGTGATAGATGGCGTATACCGGTATCGGAATTATTGACATCATTGCCAGCACCCAACCGAATGCAATACTCCACATTGGATACTCATAGCCAAAGTACGTGACTGGTACATGTGTGATCATGCTGAAGAACAGAATCACCTGAATGCGAAAACAATTTTTATTAATGTAAAAACCGGAAATATTAGAATGTCTTTAAACTAAGTGGCGAAGGGATGAGATTTGCTAAATAGAAGTGAATCGAATTTAAGTAATGAAATTGTGTAGATACGTGAAACCAAGCAGCACTTACCAAAAGAACAACGGGTACGATGAATTTCCACAAAATGATGAAAGCAGTTCTACCTAGCACTCGGCGTCCGACCATGAATTCGACATCATCCAACAGCCGGCTAGCTCCTGAAATTAAAATGAATTCAATCCCGTTGATGCTAAAGTGCGCTGAGATATGAATGAACATATTATGTTGACATGTATAGCCGCACCTATCTGTTGGATTGCCTGCGAACAGCTGGCACGCGCTCTGACTAGTCGTCTGTCCGTCCGCCCGTCCGTCCGTCCGTTCGTCCCTCATCCCGCTCGCGAAATTTTTTTTCCCACTTCAGTTCCGGACCACAGCCAATCAGCGCACTCCATTCACTCGACTTCCTCGAAGCAACAATGTAAAATGAATACCCCCTGAATGAGTCGGTCAATCCGTCCGTTTGTCCGGTTACTCAGAGATATTCAGACATATTTAAAAGCACATCGATTGCAAAAAAACGTACCATATAGCCAGCCGACGACCAAGACTTCGGCAAGACATATCAGCATGACGGAGTATCCTATTGCATACCAATCAACGATGACGAACAGATACGAGCCAGCCTGAAACGTTGTTGGCATCGTTGTGTAAGGAGAGGAGATTTCCGCGAAATGACAGCGCGCGTGCGAATCCGGCTGCTGCCTAACGGCGGTTCGTTTAGGACGTAAGAAATAAATATCATTTCGGAACGAGAAAATATTTCGTTGTAACGAGAAATTTTGTTGTTGTAACGAGCAAAGATTTCGTTGAAACGAGAAAAGATTTCGTTGAAACAAAAAAATATTTCCAGGAGGTATAACCTTCTTACATGGCTTATTTTTTTACTAGGGGGACCTTCTCCGGAAAATCCTAACAACGATTTCGGTCTTAAATATACAGCTTCCTTCCTTCCTTCCGGAAAACATTTCCAAAGCAATCAAATATCCGTTGTTCATTTTATAATTGACAATCATTGAAATTTCTTTTACACTTGCATGCAAGACCACATTTCATTTGTTTTTGTTTTTTTAACATGACCTTGTTTTTCGCATCTGCTACATATTTGCAAACGCCGCAGCGCTGATGCACGTACCCGCGTTGTGAGAGGCACTCCGAGTAGAAACATGAAGACGCACACAGCGAGCGTGATCAGTATTTTCCCCTTCTTAAGTTTGGACGAGAAGTGGTCCCAGACGACGGTGACTATCGTCTCTATCATCACAAACTGTGAAAAATTGGCCTGGTTTTACAAAGCGAAAGTGACAAGTTATTTTGATTCAGAATCACGTTTGCAGCAGGTTAAACTCGGTATAAAAGTCACACTAAAAATATTACGGAGTGTGTTCCTCAACCAACCACCAGCTATATGACAGTATAGATATGGTTCCACAATTAGTGATAGATAATTATAATATTATAGATATTGTTCTACAGCCAACAAACGTTTGTATAATTATAATATTTCATATTTTTTTTGTGGTTAGATATGATCCGATGGTTTAACAAGTGATTGTCTACAAGTCTGTAGCAATAAAGGTTATGGATAGCGCAAGCGTCGCCTCTTACCACAACTACCAGCAATGATTCCCATGATATCAGCTACATACCATGCTATTATGCTACGTTAGGAGAACGAAATATCCACATTTCGTTAATCCCGTTAGTTGCCTATCCATCCTATCAATTTTAATTCCCACAGGATCCCCTCCATACGCTCAACCCGCACACACTACAAGATGCAGGTAATAGAGTCACCACTTACCGACACGTCTTCCAGAAATCGCGAAAATTCGAAACCGCGTGTTTTAAATATATAACACAAAAAGTCATGCGCGCTGACCCATAACGTCGTACGCAAGCTCAGAAAACCAAATCAGTTAAGCTAAACTTGAGCATTACACACAGTTAAAGTTTGAGTGAAGTTAGCACTCATTGTTTAGTTACGTCAATTTAAGTGTTTAGGCGTTTAAACACAGTGTGAGCATAGTTTGTGTGTACCGACAAACTGTTATCGTACGTGTGCCCGTGAACTTCCTATTTTTGTCTACATATCATACATACACACAGACACACGGGTGTACGCGCATACGCACAAATACACACACGCACACGCACACGCACACGCACACGCACACGCACACGCACACGCACACGCATACGCATACGCATACGCACACGCACACACACACACACACACACACACACACACACACACACACACACATACACACACAAACACACGCGCGCTCGCAGACAAACGCACGTCGCACGCACGCACGAACGGTTGCGCTCGCACACAAACGCATGCACGCACGCACGCACGCTTTGCGTGCTATTTAAACGGGTTTTGCCTCTATAAACATCGTATCTGTAACTATCTTTAATTCGTTTATCCCATCGCGGGTTTAGTTGAGTGTTGAAAGCGCAAATTTTATCGTCAACCAAATTGTATTCAGCTGTGTGTCTGTTTGTGGACAAGAAAAGTGAGAGCTGTATCGCTACGCATGTCATCGCAGGGGTAGCAATACGTCATCACAAAGAGAGCAATACTTCATCACAAAGCATGCGTGGCACGTCCATTTAAGGGGCGATCAGTTTGATGAGTGAAAGCAATGCAAGAAATAGACTGATCATGAGAGTTGGAAGACGAATGTACAATGCCAATCCTATCTTCTCATTACTATAATTGTGTGTATACTATCGTAACAAAAAAATCAATGAAATCAATAAATTGTTTGAACAGTGGACAATGTGTATAGATAATTTTCAACAGTCAAGTCACAGTCAAACACATACACGATACTATACTGACCAGGGCTTCTATAGAAAAGAAGAAGGGGAGAATTTTTAATGAGAGCGGGTAACTGGCTCGAAATCCCCTTTACGGGTATCGAGAAAAGCATGGCACGTCAGAAACAGTGGCGGCAGCAGCGACACTAGCAACAACAACACAAAAACACTAGTCCTTTGAACAATATTATAATTATCGCCTATTAATAATCGACAACAATTTCTCGTGGTACCGGAATTTACGTCAATGCATGCTGTATTAAACTAATTCTACACTAATCAAAACTCGAGAAACCTCGAAGAAATACCAATGCTAATTGCCTATTATTAACCTTACTTGCTGTGTAAAGGTCAGATTTCGCTATGATGGTGATCTATTTGATCTTCGAAGACTGAAGTCAAAGACCAAAGTTCTTACCGAGTACATCAGAGAGGCTCAACATGCAGACGATATAGCCATATTCAGTGACACTTCAGCGGGACTACAGTTGTTACTCACAGCTTACAACGACCTTGCTAGATAGTTCAGCGTATGCCAGCGTTTTAGAGAAATTTTGATACGTCCGGCATACGCTGGCTAAATCGTCAATGTGTGACAGGGCCATAAAGGCGAAGATTCCCTATTAAATGTGCGTACAGGTGAGAAGCTATTTGACAGCACGCATTCGACATCTTACGAAATGATTGCACGCGACTCCACAAAAAAATTGCCACGGCTTTTGTGTACACGCATTTTCCACGTATACACGCATTATCCACGTATACACGCATTTTCCACGTATAGACGCATTTTCCATGCTTTCTATTCGATGCTCCTTCCAGTCACGAATACGACCTCACTCACACGCATGCGCGTATGTTTCTTGTTTGTGCATATAAACCTAGCTATAAGCCTAGCCTAGCCTAGCCTAGCTATAGTTTGTGCTATAGCCTAGGACACACTAGCGATTCTGTACGCTGCCCGGCAGCGTATATGTTCGCTGAGTTCGCTCACGAATTTAGAACGCCGTACCAGTTCCGCGGACAGCTGGAAACACTGTACGGTGTCAAACCGCTTCCAACGGCTTCGTTGCTACACTTGATTGGCTGCTAAAAACAATCGCGTTCGAACACGATGATTCATTGCTGGGCGCGCTGGCGCTAGCTGGTGCAAGCGCATGCAAGCGCATGCGCCGTACGCAAGCGGGTGCGTAAATATTCAACATGCTGAATGTGAGCGATCAGCCGGGCGTATGGGATTGGGATCGCGTGCGAAATACGCTGCCGTGAGACCGGACACACCGCGCGGACCCGGCACCGTATTTATCGATCGCAAGCGGCCAGCGTAGAAAATCGCACAGTGTGTCCTAGGCTCGTACCCGTAAACACGCGGACGATTTAAGTGGTTGACGAATATTTCTCTGCCTACCGTCACTTATGTTTATAGGGACGTCACCGCTCCTGAGAAATATACTTGATAATGCCGGCATTTCTCCAGTACATATTGCTGTTTTGCGCGGGCGAGTATACATACATATTAATAATGTGCTGTATATATAACGTGACTTGTTGCTTTTCCGCGTGTAAATTATTTTTATACTTTCCCAGTCTATGATAAACGAGGTAAGACTATCCGTTAATTAGGCAATAGTATATAACATCTAGTCTTTGGTTAATTGGCAGCAAATGCTCATTATATGCACATCTAAGTACGTCGTATTAAGCACTTTCTGCTATTTGCGTCACACGTGTATGTAATGAAAATCATCTAGCCTCGCTGTTGAGATTCGCATTTCCATAAACGAATCGCGTTAAATCATTCTCCTCTATGCTTACAGGTCTACCGCTCGTCGGTGAGTGGGTGCGCCTTCTACTGCTTGCGCACGGAACACTGCAAGTCTATCGGATTCGTGTCAACCACTGACCTCTACAACCTTAGAGGTTGTAGAGGTCAGTGGTGTCAACCTCAGGCCGTTGTGAGCTTATGTTTGGCACAGAGAGGCAAAATAGTAATGAGACAACCTTTATCGAAGTTCTTGGTCTGAAATACTACGATGCGAAGAAGAAATCACCAGCAAGTATGTTATTAGATCTGTAATTTATTGAGCTCATCTGTTATTTATCTCGGTTATTAAATCCAATATTTATACATGTATATAGATATAAAAATGTCATTGTCATATATAATATATGTATATATATATATATTATATATATATATATATATAATATAACGTGCGTGTGTCCGTGAGTGTTCTTGCGGGCCTGCGCGCCGGTGTGTACATGTACGCTGTGCGTGCGCGCATGTGTGTGCGTGTGCTTGTGTGTGCGCGCGTGTGCATGCGTGTGTGTGTATGCGTGTACTTGTGGCATATATATGCATATATATATATATTTATATATATATATATATATATATAAACATGTACGCGTACATGTACACACAGGCGCGCAGGCCCACACGCACACGAACAAGCACCCGTACATGCACACGCATACGCATACGAACACGCACACACATACACGCACACGCACACGCATACGCACACGCACAACAGCACCCGCACACGGCACACGCACAAGCACAAGCACAAGCACACGCACACGCACACGCAAACGCACACGCACTCACACGCGCATACACACGCGCGCACACACACACACGCACGTACGCACCACGCACGCGCGTACACACACACACACCACACGCACAGCACACACACACACACACAACACACACACACACACACAACACCACACACACACACACACACACACCACACACACAAATACATACACGTGCATTTCAGAGAGTTCTGAAAGGTGGAATTGATATTATATTATGATTGTTATGTGTTTTACGCGATGACGCACGGGCAGGTTGATGTTGTTCTACATCTTACTTACAGTGTCCTTTACCCCGACAGTCTGACTTTCCCGCTGCTGTTAGGAACTGATAATATGTTTTCCGGAGTTAATAGTCCAGTCATAAAGTGGCCAAAAAAGGCCTCTACCGGAAATCGAGTGAAACAAGCTGGATTCTTCACTAATGTGTTGGTATTGGTCCATATAAAACCTAAAAAAAAGTTACAAAATTTTTGTTGGTCGGAAACTTTTTTACGGGCCACGCCCTTTTTCCGATTTTCGCGATTATGGGAAAATTGTGTAAATCTTACCTGAACACTTTATAGTCATGTTATACATGTTACTAGGGGTATTTTGGGGCGGGGAGTCGATTCCAACAGTCAGTTTATTCATAAATTAAATGGTTAATGCTTAATTGACCAATTAAGCTCAATTAAGCTCAGTCGCGTACCAAAATTTCGGTGTTTTCTGACATATGGCATGTTAGGTATGCTTTCTGGGTTATTTTTGGATGCCCGATCGAATTCTGGTGTTATTTAAACACTCAGAAGTATGATTCATCCCTAAAAAGTGTTATAGGAGTGTTTCACGTGACGTCATAGATCAGGTCACGTGTATTTGTTATGTGTCATGGTTGCAGAAGCGAAGGCGTGCTGCTTGACATTTACAGATGAATGACCACATGTTCTGATAGAAAGCGCTGTTTATGTATGTGCACGTAGCACGTGCGTGCTGGCGTGGCATGCGTGTGCACGTACACGTGCGTGCGTGTGTGCGTGCGTGCGTGCGTGCGTGCGTGTGCACGTACACGTTCGTGCGTTCGTGTGCACGTACACGTGCGTGCGTGCGTGTGCACGTACACGTTCGTGCGTTCGAGTGCACGTACACGTGCGTGCGTGCGTGTGCACGTACACGTGCGTGCGTATGTGCGTGCGTGTGCACGTACACGTGCGTGCATGCGTGTGTGTGTACGTGCGTGCGTGTGTGCAGGTACACGTGTGTGCAATGAGTGCGTTGGTGCGTACGTGCGTGTGTGTACAGGTACACGTGCGTTCGTGCATGCATGCATGTGCACGTAGACGTGCGTGTGCACGTACACCTGTGTGCATGCATGCGTGCGTGCGTGTGTACGTAAACGTGCGTGCATGCGTGCGTGTGTGCGTGTGTGCGTGTGCACGTATACGTGCGTGCGTGCGTACACCTGCGTGCATGTGTGCGTGTGCACGTGCGCGCGTGCGTGCGTGCGTGTGTACGTACACGTGCGTGCGTTCGTGCGTGCGTGCGTGCGTGTGCACTTACACGTGCGTACATGCGTGCGTACGTGCGTGTGCAGGTACACGTGTGTGCATGCGCGCGTGCGTGCGTGCGTGCGTTTGGATGTACACGTGCGCGCGTGCGTACCTGCATATGCACGTACACATGCGTGCATGCGTGCGTGCGTGCGTGTGCACGTACACGTGCGTGCATGCGTGCGTGCGTGTGCACGCACATGTGCGTGCTTGCGTGAGTGCGTGCGTGTGCACGTACACGTGCGTGCATGCGTGCGTGCGTGCGCGTGCACGTACACGTGCGTGCATGCGTGCATGCGTGCGTGCGTGCGTGTGCACGTACACGTGCGTGCATGAGTGTGCGTGTGCGTGCGTGCGTGCGTGCGTGTGTACGTACACGTGCGTGCGTATGGTTGTATCGAACAATATCACGCATCTGCTTGCTGCCAACCGTTAAACTGCGCATGTGCGCATATGACGTCAATGTTTATCAACATGAAACACTCCTATAGATCGATCATTAATAACCATACGCGTTACTGTTTAAATTTAAAACCTTGTATTAAGTATTGATTATGAAGCTTACGAACTCGACAACGCCGAAGATACTCGATAAAGAATCATACACATAGGATTTGATGAATACAAACAATAGAATATAATTTGTCCTTTAACAGAACTATTGTATCACAATCGTCCAGGAAGAGTAACAAGTCAAATGCACTGTACAAAAATTAATTACAGCATGTCCGCCAAATCAACCGAAGCTATGCAAAATAGTCCTATATATCAATAACTTATAGTACAATAATTAGAACAATATTATAACTTATAGTACAACAA